TGTGCTTGGATTTCTTCAACTTTTAGTAAAACTGGCCTGAAATGTATTATGCTGAGTTGTGGATTTTCTACCAGGTTCCTTGTGGTACGGAAATGGACCAAAAACCTCCTAGATGTCCCAAACCATGTCCTGTCACTCCTTTATGTCGACATGCATCAAATTGCAAGGTACCATTTAATATGACTTGTTTTTACTCAGACATTTACATTTTCAATCAGAGATACACTTTATTTATAGTATGCTGAAGCTATGGTAGAGGAAAATAATTTAGAAAAAAAATTCTCTTTTTTATTTTAATGGTAATATGATATATTTAATAGGGTGTCCATCCCCATTCTACTGTGGTATTTTTATAAACCTTTTAGAGATTTAAAATCAAATAATTTTAATTGCCCATTTTGTTCTTGGGATTTGATCCCTGGTCTCGTATACATGGTTGTGCTCTCGATATAACAAACAAATAATCTTTTTGTACAACTGTATAAATAATTGGAATATAAGGGAAAGTGGGAAAAGATAATAAGATTTAGCTCTCCGTGAGGTCTAGAATTTGAAGTAGTGCTTACTGTCAAAGATAAAATGTGCATTTGACATTTAAAACTTTATGTAAAGAAGCTTATTTCATCAGAATCATCATGAGTATCTAATTATCTACACATTGTGGCTGATTTCAAATATTAAGGCAAGACCCTTAGTATTTGACAAGAAATTAATTATATGAAGTATAAATTTGTCTTTAAGCTCTAATTTAATGGATTTAACTTGAAGTATTATCATTTTACAGTATGATCGTTTTCTACCAAGACAAGCCTGTTGTACAGTATGATATTGTAGAGTATTTTTGAATGAGTTTGGAGCAGGTTTCTGTTGTACAGCCCTTTCATTTGGTTTCTGTTGTACAGCCCTTCCATTAAATAATAAAGTTGATGTCCTTCAATGCGTGGTACAGTTAAATTTGAAAATGGAGGATTACATTTCACTATGCAATTATTTTTTATAAAATAAATATTCACAGTATATATTGACGACAAGTTTCTAGTGTTGCTTTTCTCTAAATCTGAATGATTAGAAAGCTATCCATAGATATCATTATTATACTTATATTTTCTTTAGTTTTACGAAAGGAAGTGTATTCTTAATTTTTGTTGGTTCATATTTTTTATTTTTATGTTGTTAACAAGTTATGTTTCTGTGTAGCCGCATAAATGCCATTATGGAGCCTGCCATCCTTGTCGGCTACCTTGTGCCAAAGAGTACCAATGTAGCCATACATGCAAATTAAGGTTTGATAAAAATTTCTCTTTATTTATGATAAAACTAATGCCTGCATGTTAGGACTTTGGACTTTTTGGACATTTAGCATGAATGGAAAGTCCTAAAACAAAGATTCAGCGGTCTCTAATCATGTTCTTGAGTCTTGGCAAAGTAATGCATGTGGCTCATTAGAGTCTAGTATCACGGGTTAACAACAAGTCCATACACTTAACTTTTAGGTATATCTTTCCTAAACTCTTGTCTTTGTGAAGGTGTCATGGTCCTAAGCCTCCTCCTAAACCAGAGTTTACTCTGAAACCAAAGAAAAAGAAGATTATACAACAAAGTGAAGGTGTTCCTGGCACTCCATGCCCTCCTTGCCCTGAACTTGTGTGGAGATCATGTGTTGGACAACACATTGGAGCTGACAGAATGGTTTGTTTTGCTTATCTTCAAAGCTCTATATGAACTTCGATGTGCAAGATTTGATTAATTTGCCCAAAAGCAACTTCTTTTATGTTGCTAATACAGTTGCTGTTTTCTTTTCACCCTATTATCAGATGGTTTGCTCTGATAAATCACAGTTCTCCTGTGAAAATTTATGTGGTAATCCTCTACCATGTGGCAATCATTATTGTACAAAAACCTGCCATGCCTTGGATAGCCAATTACGAGGAAGTGAACCATGTGAAGATTGTTATCTTCGCTGCCAGAAGGTGTTACATCCTCCTTAATTCCATTAATCCATTTAATTATACTATTTATATTGCACCGGTGGCTTTATTTATGGTTTTTTATGCAATCTCTATTTTTATCACTGGATTTATGCTCAATGAAGTTTCTCATTTGTCTTCCTGTGTGAAATTGAGAAACTCTCCTGTATGCTTTCTAAAATTAGAACTGATAGTTTGTTGGTTTATGTGTTAACTGCATTGATCAGGAAAGAGAGCCTGCATGTCCACACAATTGCCCTCGGTCGTGCCATCCTGGAGACTGTCCTCCATGCAAGGTGCTCATTAAGCGGTCATGTCACTGTGGTGCAATGGTTCATGTGTTTGAGTGTATATATTACAATAGTTTGTCTGCAAAGGATCAAGAGACTGTCCGTTCATGTGGTGGGCCATGTCATAGGTAATAAGAGACTAGCAATTTTTTTTTTTTAAATCTAGTTTAGCCCTTGAAACCAACTGTAAGTTCTAAATCTCTGTTAGACTTTGGTTCCTCTCTCTTCCTTGTTTCTTGTTCTATTAATTGGTTGGTAAAATTATGACACCCCTATTTTTTTCATGGTTTGCAGAAAGTTGCCAAATTGCACGCATCTATGTCCAGAGACATGCCATCCCGGTGAGTGCACAAATGCAGAGAAATGCTGTAAAAAGGTACTGCATGACTCAATAGTTATAACACAATTAGCTCAAGCGATTTTTTGTACTAGCTTTCTTGCTACTGCATTCTAAACAAATGAATACACCTATTATTGATTCAATTTGACTTCTAAAATATGAAATCATTCTTCACAGGTCACAGTTCGTTGCAAATGCCAAACACTGAAAAAGGAGTGGGTTTGTCAAGATGTTCAAGCAGCGTATCATCTTATGGGTTGCCATCCAAGGGATACACCAAAAAGTCAATTTGGAATTGGACTAATTCCTTGCAATTCTGATTGTAAGAGTAAAGTGCAGGTTGTTGAGTCAGAACTACAATTGCGTAAATCTAGGGTTACTGAGGTAATCATGATTCTGTCAGAACTTTCCACATGTACTCTATAATCTTTTTTATACTTTATTTATAAGGTTTGTTCACACTTCTAAAATTCTTGCTTTTGTACAGGCATCTTTGTGTTTGAAGTGTCATTTATGGTCTTAATAAATTTCATAACCAAGTTAGAGTTATATACCAAACCACAAATACATATAGATAGATGTTGCTGTCTGGCAACATGTAGTGTTATTTTTGGTTGCTCTGTTGTTTCATCAAATTACAAATGTGATACTTACTCCTTTAAGAGAGGGATGGAAACAAGGATAATGAAAGAGTGAAATTCTTCGTGTTTTTCTACCATACACGTTTATTTTGCTGAAACAAGTTTTGTCAATACCTATAAATATTATACGTTCATTACATTGTGAGAATGTTGGCCCTCATTTTATACATTGACAATACCCCTACATAGATGCATACATAAGAAATCAAAGGTTCTAAAATTAAAATTTCAACCAATACGATATAAAAGTTAATAAACATACCATTTACGTCTATTTCTGGTTTGATGATACTTCACATTGTCAGTGCATAAACTATCTACTCTAATTTCTAAATTATGTTGTTTTTCTTTGTTTTCATTAAATTGAGGAGACATGCTTTTATTGAGATGTGCCGTGGCAGTGTCTAATACTTTAGTAATTATTAAAGGTACAAGATCAAGATGCAGAAAAATCAGTTCGAAAGCGAAGAAAAAGGAGAGAACGGGTTCTTGAATCCAAAGAAACATCAAAACTTCAGGTAACGTTACTTTCCTTAACAATCGAGCCATATTTAAGTTCCAGTTGTCTTTTTTCTTTGCTGACCCACTTGAGAATCATTGAACAGAAAATAATTTCCGGAGCGAAGCGGTTTCTTCTGTTTGTGTTTATATTGATCATTCTTGTTGCTGCTACATATTATTGCTACAAGGGACTTTTACGGCTCTCTGATTGGATGAATGAAGTGGATGAACAAAAACAAAGATATTCTCGAATCAAATGATTATCAGTTTGATTACTCCTTTTTGTTAGTCTGGTTACATTATTTTTCTTCCATTTCAATGTGGATATGTCTGATGTAAGTTTAATGTGCTTTTTATGGTTCCATGCATTCTTTAATCTTAGACTAGGAAGAATATTTAGACATCCTGAGCGTTTCCGAAGTGGAAATTTTAGGAAATTATGGTCGAATGAATTCATTGATTTTTGAGCCACTGAAGCATTTTTGAGTTGGACCTTCGGAGTTTATGTGTAAACAATTTTGTTTTATGTATCCAAATCTTTAAATATTTATTTAGAAATGAGTACTTGAAAGCTAAAAACTAGGTAGTAGAAAGTTAAGGTGAATTATTATATCATAAATGTTTAATGAAATTATTAATTAAAATTGCTGATAAATGTAAATAAGAAAAAAAGGCATGTTTATATGATATTTTTATATAAATTTTTATGCTATGTGAATACCATAATCTTATATCAACATATTTATTTAGTTAATGTATTATATTAGCTTAGTTTTAGATCTACATAATCACACATACAAGTTAACTTCTTATCGTGAAATTAGAGAATTTAGTATAATTAATATAAATAAAATATTTAAACATTATATAGAGAGAGAGAATATATCATAATTTTCTGATTGATTGAGAGTAACAAAAGTCTGTTACATATCTTATGCATCCTAATAAATAGGTTTAATACCTCTTTTGGTCCCTCAAAAGGGGGCAAAAGTTCAATTCGGTCCTACCTTTTTTTAGAAGTTCAATGTGGTCCCAACTTTTGTAAAAAGTGTGCAATCAAGTCCTTTTTGGAAACGGCGTTGAGTTTTTAACGGAGCAGCTGACAGGGTGGACTAAAGTTAGCTACGTGGCTGTGTGTGGGTAATACGTGGCTGCGAGAGGGTGATACGTGGCTGTGAGAGGGTAAATGTAATAATATTACTGAGGTTAAAAAATCAGAAGTTAGGGTTTGAGATTTCAACACAAATTTCTTAACCTATTTCCCTATTTCCAACTGTTCTTCCACCGCAGCCTCACCACCACCACCGCCTTCTTCCCCTCCTCCTTCTCCTCCGCCTCTCGACATGGGGGAGTTCCTTCATCCGCCCAACCTCACTCATACTCTGTCGGACGATGAGCTGTTCTGGAGGGCTTCCTTGATGCCGAAGAAAGAAGGGTACCCTTTCCGCAGAATCCAGAAGGTGGCTTTCATGTTTCTGACCAGGGGTCCCCTTCCCATGTTGCCCCTCTGGGAGAGATTCTTCAACGGCCACGCTCCTCTCTTCAGCATCTACGTCCACGCGCCTTCGCGATTCCATCTCAACGTCTCCGAGTCTTCCCCTTTCTACGGGCGCCAAATCCCCAGCCAGGTAAATCACAAATACTCTCGTTTTTTTTTTTCCTTTTTGTTTGGTTCCGTGATGTGCTCAGACATGATATTGGATTGTGATCAGGATGTTTCGTGGGGCACAGTGACGCTGGCAGATGCTGAGAGACGGCTTTTGGCAAATGCTCTGTTGGACTTCTCCAATGAGCGGTTTGTTCTCCTTTCCGAGAGCTGCATCCCAATCTACAACTTCCCCACTGTCTACCGATATCTCACAGACTCCGCCCACAGTTTTGTTGAATCCTACGATGATCCCACCCGCTATGGCCGCGGTCGGTACAGTCGCAGTATGCTTCCTCATATTCAACTTCGACACTGGCGTAAAGGCTCTCAGTGGTTTGAACTCAATCGTCTTCTTGCTGTGTATATAATCTCTGACACCCAATATTTTTCCCTCTTCCGATTTCAACACACTTCCTCCACGATGATAAATCTCAAATTACCAATTTCTCTGCAACTCAAACCCTAACTTCTGATTTCTTAACCTCAGTAATATTATCACATTTACCCTCTCACAGCCACGTATCACCCTCTCACAGCCACGTATTACCCACACACAACCACGTAGCTAACTTCAGTCCACTCTGTCAGCTGCTCCGTTAAAAACTCAACGCCGTTTCCAAAAAGGACTTGATTGGACACTTTTTACAAAAGTTGGGACCACATTGAACTTCTAAAAAAAGGTAGGACCGAATTGAACTTTTTGCCCCTTTCGAGAGACCAAAAGAGGTATTAAACCTAATAAATATCAGTTTTCGTGTGAAATCACTTCAAGTCTTCACATCATTCAAGATTTTTTTCTCAAAAAAATCCATTAATACATACACACTGATACGTGTTATCTACTATTTGATTATTTGGTATAACTTAGATAGAATAATAGATATTAAAATTTTCACATTCCTTGAAGGAATGCTTGAATCTTCTCCGAAACTTCTCTCATGGCATTATTGACTTGGGAAGAAAAGTCACTGACATTGAATGCTCCCAAGTATACTCCAATACTTTTAATAAGCACTGTGTACTGCCCAAGTAAAACATGGAGGTGCAGCTACATCTCTGCTACAAATTGAGAAAGTGAAACTTTAAACCGTTTTCCTAGCCCAATGAAAGAGACCCTCTCCTAGCTATCTTTCTTACACACCGTCTCTTCTGGGTAATCAATAACCATTAATTTGCTGTCATTCCTTGCTTGCGCCAAACTTCTGCCATACGTCAACGTGGAAGTCAGCGACGACCTTCAATACAGACAAAGTACAGCTTGTGCAAGGTGTCGCTGTTAAATTTGATCGAGACATAATGGTCTAATTTTAATTTTTCACTACAAAATTAAAAAATAAACACATAATAATCAACATTGTGCAGTGTGGAGAGAGGAGAGTGTCCATTGAGAGGGCTGCCCCTTCTTGCACCCCATTTATTTCTTTTGCACCTCCCTAATTTTTAATACCCATTCTATCCCAAAGTAAAAAAAGAAAACCCTATCTTTTATCACCATTTTCTGCGCCACCCGGCACCTCCTCACTTCCTTTGTTGGGAGGGAAACACAGCTTCACTGGTGCGACAGACCTTTCTGGAAAGGAGAAGAAGCTCGCGCGATCCAGCAGAAGGGCGTAGGTGGTGCCACCAGCGCCGATGGCTCCATTTGGGAGCTCTGCACAGAGAGTGACGCGAAAGCGACACGACCAGTGGCAGCTACGAGATGATGGTCGACGGCGAGTGCGATGGCCAGAGAGAGTGACGCGATGGCGAGAGGATGATGTAGCTCAGGAGAACGAAGAAGAAGGGGCTTAATATTAAAAGATTGGAGCCCTAACCAGGTGATTTTTCCCCTCCAAACGTACTTTGATTTGGCTTCATATTTTTCTTCTTTCGAACTCGCCAAACCACTACAAACTCGCGAGTTCGAACATTCCACCGATTTCACATCCGATTCCATCGATTCTAGTTGGAAAACGAGTTTGCTTCCGAGTTGACTCGGAAGCCATGACTAGAAACGTAAACTCGTCCGAGTTAACGAGTTAACTCGCGAGTTTGATAACTATGTTAATAACTAATGCAATGCTAGGGATCCCCAACTTTCACTGGAAAAAAATTGTCAAAAAATGTTAGTATTCAGCGTCATGATACTCTAATGAGTGATGGCATGTGTATATACATTGTGTAAAATTAAATTGTCATAAATAGTGCAAATGGTCTGTTTTTCTGTTATCATTGGCAAGTGATAAAGCTGTCTCCAAATTGGCCACTACCTCTGTCATAGTTGGCCTATCTTTTCTGTTCAAATTTACACAATTGACCGCTGTATGAGCCACTAATTCCAGTGCCTCTGCTTCTTCATTTCCATGGGGTGCTCCAACCCTTGGATCCAAAATGTTCACCATTTTCCCATCCAAAATAACATGTCGTGCAATGTTCACCATACGTGTGCACCTATATGTCCCATACTTGAATGTAGTTTTCTTTCCTGTTAAAAGTTCAAGCAGCACAACTCCAAGCCCGTACACATCACTCTTTGCGGTAAACATACCCGCGAAAACATGCTCAGCTTCTGGACTCATGAAACATGACGATTCAAAACCAGATACTCTTGCTGTCCAATTAGCATCAAGAAGAATGTTGGAAGACTTGATATCTCTGTAAATAATAGTTGGAACTACATATTTATGAAGGTGTTCTATTCCCCGGGAAGCATCCAAAGCAATCTTGATCCTCATTCTCCAAGAATTCAACACACTGCTCTCCTTGTCCACATTGTTTTTGTCATGCAAATGATCATATAACGCCCCATTCTTCATGTACTCATAGACCAAGAACCTTTTATCTTTCTCTTTACAGAACCCAACTAGCCCAACCAAGTGATTATGGTGTAGGCAGGGCAAAAGGGATAAATAGCCAAATAACTCGTGAAACTCCTTCATCTTAGAACTGGTTTCAGCCCTTTTGATAGCCACCTCACGACCATCAAAGAGTTTACCTCTGTGCACAACACTAATGCTTCCAGCACCAAAAATCTTGTTGTGAAGTGAGAAATTGTTGGTGGCCGCTTTAAGCTCAGCTAGGGTGAATAATCGTGTATGAACATATCCTATCCCATCCGACACTGCTTGTGATAGTCGTGCAGCAACAATTCTTTGGGTCAACGCAGAAGCAAAAGCAAAACAACTGATAGGGGATGTTTCAAAATCCGCTTCAGTAGCACTGCTACTCCTTATGGCACTGTCCACTACCGAAGCAAAACTGCGGACACGAGATTCTCCCATATCTGACGCACTCTCACTCGCTATGGCACTGTCCACTGCCCAACTAAAACTCCTTGCGTCTACTGTGATATCAGCCATCTCAATTATTATTCGTGCACTAGCTAAGTGAGTTTATGTATGTTGTAGAACACCTATATACACAATTACACTGATATACCGCGTGGAGATATGAATACGTGTACCTGTTAAGTACCATGTATTGGTTGAGAAGGTGCAAGGAAAGGAGAATATAAATACGTGTTACACGGATATACCGCGTGGAAATAATTATATATATATATATATATTTTTTTTTTCATTTTATCTGAGTGTTAAAGAGTATTGATAGACATCTAGTTTTGATTAACTATTAGGGACTTAGTTCTATTCCCCCCGAACGCATCCAAATCAATCTTGATTCTCCTTATCCAATAATTCAATACACTGCTCACCTTGTTCAATAACGCCCCATTCTTCATCTTTTCATACACCAATAACCTTTCATCTTTCTCTTTACAGAACCCAACTAGCCCAACCAAGTGATTATGGTTTAGACGGGGCAAAGGTTGGATAAAATAAAATAAAATACACATATAAAATAAAATTATAAATCCCTAACATATCCCTTATATTTCCAAACTATATTTTTGAGAAGCCATCCACCCATAATAATACGATAAGATCTACCGTAACAGATGGCCAATGCTCTCTCCAAACAGATCACAATATCAGCCATGGATGGTCTATCTTTCCCTTTCCGATTCACACAATGTAGGGCTGTTTTGGCCACCAACTCCAATGCCTCTATCTCATTCACATCCGGTGGTCCGACCCTAGGATCCAAAATGTTGACCAATTCTCCAGCCAAAATGGCAGGCACTGCAAAGTCCACCAAACGGTGCACACTTAAGGTACCTCCATCTTCCCCATCAAGGAATATAGCTCTCTTTCCTGTTAAAAGCTCTAGCAATACAACTCCCAGCCCATACACATCACTCTTTGCTGTCAACATATTTAGATCATAGTACTCAGGATCAATGTATCCAACTGTTCCTCCTACCTTTATTCGTCGGTAATCACACTCAGCTTCTGGACTCATCCAAGAAAATTTAAAATCAGACACTCTTGCCATCCAAGTGGCATCAAGAAGAATGTTGGAAGACTTGACGTCCCCGTGAATAAATAGTGGAACTGCATAGTTATGAAGATATTCTATTCCTCGGGAAGCATCCAAAGCAATAGTGATCCTCATTTTCCACCGATTCAACGCATTGCTACCATTTTCATGCAAATGATCATACAAGGTACCATTCTTCATGTACTCATACACCAACAGCCTCTCGTATTTCTCTTCACAGAATCCAACCAACCCAACCAAGTGTTTGTGGTGTAAACGGGACAAGAAGGTCAATGCAGATTTAATTGATGAGGTCTTTTTCTTTTGCCAGGTTTCAACCCTCTTGATTGCAACCTCACGACCATCAACGAGTTTGCCTATGTACACAACACCAAGCCTTCCAGCACCAATCTTGTTGTTGAGTGAGAAATTGTTGGTCGCTGCTACAAGCTCAGCCTGGCTGAATAATTGTAAGCCTTTAACAGCATGTTCTGTGACGTTGGACAACACTGGTGATGACCCTTCAGCAACAGTGGTGGAGTGGACCTCAGAAGTAAAACCAGGCACAGGAAAGGTTTCTAAATCTGTTCCTCCAGTACTACTACTACTCCTGATCACATAGTCCACTCCCGAAGCAAAACTGGAGACACGTGACGTTCGAAAACCTGCTTCAGAAGCACAACTACTTCTCAATGCATAGTCCACCACCGAAGCAAAACTATGGGGAGGGGATGCTCCGAAATTTGAGGCAGTCTCACTCCTTATGGGACTGTCCACAGCCGACCAAAAACTTGTTGCATCACCCATGTAACGAGCCATGTGAAAGTATGTACTTTGAAAGAACTCCCTTTGGATATTTATACAGAGACACTACGCGTCTCAGTTGAGAATGTTCCAAGGCAATGAGAAGGGAGAATCCACTTTAATTATTAATTACAAATTACATAGAGATTAAGTCACTCACGCTGCGTGTATCTATAGGTCCCACCTCTGTACACATCAACAAAACTTCCAGAACCAATGAATGATGTGATCATTTGAGAAATTGTTGGCAGCTGATACAAGCTCGGCCACGATGAATTCTTGAAAACCGTGTACAGAGAAAAAGGGCGTCTGGAAACATATACGAGACAATTTTATATTTATAATAAAGTATTCTTTTATCATAATTATATTCTTTAATATAATTGTTGATTTGATATAGTGCTTTACTATAATTTAGAATTTGTTATTATATATAAGATATTATAATAAAGAGAAACAAATATCTTATGTCAGCCATATCAATTTCTCTAAATTTCCACTCTCTTACCTAAGTGAATGTTTGTATGTTATACAAACAACACGGATCCAACGCCTAAAATTCTCTTTAAAAGGTACCAATAAGATCGTTTTGCCAGATAAAAAAGAAAGTTTAAAAGAGTGCATACCAGTTAGATAAGTTAGTGTTCTTCTGAGTTTATACTAATTTGTCAATACATAAATATTAATCATTCACCTTATAATAATATTATATGTTTCTACGCGTAAAGGTAAGTAACTACTTGTCAACGACTGAAAACAAAGAAAATTTTAAAATATATTAACTCTAGAACACATGAGCTTTTAAATATCAAAACAATATATATGCCCTTTTAATATATGTAAATTTAAAATGCTGCTAAAAAATGATTAAAAAATATTTATACTTATTTTTCTGTTATGACCTACCTAATGTAACTTTATTTTATTTTCACCCAATAGAAAGTTTTATATTAACTCATTTGAAAAAAAAAATTAATTAAATTAAAAACGTTCAAAATAGTAGAATTAAATTAAAAAGTATTATGATAATTGAAAAAAAAAAAGTTAATAAACATTAAGAAGATAATTGTATTGGGACAATGGTTAATAAACTGCGGACACGAGATTCTCCCATATCTGACGCACTCTCACTCGCTATGGCACTGTCCACTGCCCAACTAAAACTCCTTGCGTCAACTGCGATATCCAAGAGGAGGTTTTCAATAGTTAATATTACCTTTATTTCTTTTCAATGGATCCTATTTATTAATGGGTTAAATATGTTTTTCGTCCCTAAACTATTGGCCGTTTCTGGTTTTCGTCCCTCTTTCAAAGTAAGGTACAATTTTTGAATATTTTAGTCCTCGGAATTTTGGTTTTAGTCCTCAATTTTTGCTAAATAAGGACCAAATTTTTAAACAGTGTTTAGTTTTCGAGGGCCAAAACGAACGTTTTGAAAAGAATGAGGACCAAATTGTACCTTACTTTGAAAGAGGGACAAAAACCAGAAACGGCCAATAGTTTAGGGACTAAAAACATATTTAACCCTTTATTAATTTACATTAATATCATAGTTTGTCGATGAAAAATTATAAATAAAAAAATAAATATTTTCTTTAATATGACATTATTATTTTAATTGATAACTGATTTATTATATTTTGATTATAGATAAAGCTGTCAAAACGGATAATTTGGTTTGACTAGGCTCAACCCACTACGGGTTGGTCATTTAGTGACCCAACTCAACCCGACTCATTTAGGGGTGTTGCTCCCTCCACCACCCCAAGTACTTTTGTACCTCCACACTATTTTTTTTTATTCCAAAAATACTTTACACCTCCCACTATTTTCTTTTATTTCAAAAATACTCTACACCTCCCCACTATCCTCAACAATCTTTCTCTTTCTTTCATTAATGGAGCATTATCTTTCTCTTTCTCTCTCTACATTAATAGAGCATTCATATGACTTAAATTTAAACTTGTGGAATATTACAAAATATAAAATTGAGAGGAAACTTCAATATTAGTGCTTCTACCACTTCCATTTTATAAACTTAAAGGTTAGATGCAAATACAAAATAATAAACATAATAATATAAATAGTAAATAATAATAATATTATTATTATTATATATTAATTTTATAACGACAAAAGAAGTAAATAAATACCAAATTTTTAACAAATAACTTTTCTTTTATATTTTAAGTATTTAATAATATTTTTAAATTATTTATCTAATAAATTAAATATTTTATTCAAGTTATTTGTGTCAAACATGTCGATAAGTTAAAACATAATATAATGTTAAAAATTATAGATATTAAATGTAAAGAAACACACATATATATAAACATTTTTCTAGGAATTTAGAACAAAATTTTATCATTTATTAAGTGATTTGAAGAAAAAAATATATATTGAACAGTGAAAATAAGATTGCATCAAGGTTATTTAAGGAAAAGTGTAAATAAAATTTTGTAATATATCATAAGTTTAAATCTGAACCATGTGAATGCTCCATTAATGTGGAGAGAGAAAGAAAAAGATTATTCAACATAGTGGGGAGGTCTAGGGTAATTTTGGAATAAAAGAAAATAGTGGGGAGGTGTAGAGTATTTTTGGAATAAAAGAAAATAGTGAGAAGGTGCAGGAGCACTTGGGGTGGTGGAGGGAGCAACACCTCACTTATTAATGAGTTGAAAAATTTGAACCCGGCCCGACCCACCACGGGTTGTAGATTAAATGGGTTGGCTCATTAGCTCACTTAATTATAATTTTTTTAAATTAAAAAAAAATATATTTTTTTTAATTCAAATATAAATAAATTTCACTTTAAACTCCAAAGACAATTAAAAATATAAAAAAATCATACAATCCAAAAATAAACACAAAAGACGAACATATAAGTTTTTAATATTCATAATTTTTGTATCATTTGTCCATCTTTAATATCAGAGTCTTGAATAGATAAATCTATAATTTTTTTTCCCTTGAAACATTTTTTATTCCATCTACAATATAATAAAAAAAATGCTAATTATAATATTGAAACACAAAATAATAAATAATTAAATTAAATTAGGTGAGTTCAGCTCACTACGGGTTCAACCCGGATGAGTCAGGTTCTAAGTGAGTCGGATTGAAAACTAACTCACATAAACCTAACCTAACCTGTCTCAAATCCATGGTTTGCCTAGTTGTCTCACAGGTTACAGCTCATTTTGATAGCACTAATTATAGATACACTTTATGCTTTTTAGTCTAATTGAATGGATGTGAATGTAAATGGAAGTTAATGATATTAATGAAGGAACCATCAAATTTAGAAAAAATAATTTTGATTAAAATTAAAAACCCTTGCCCATAATAAATTGAAAGAATGAAGATAGAACGTTTTCTTAAATAATTTATGATGACAATTCTATCATAATTTGGGTGTTAATTCAAAACTTACAAGGAAGAAATAATTATATCTTTTTTTTTTCATTTTATCTGATTGTTAAAGAGTATTGATAGTCATCTAGTTTTGATTAATTATTAGGGATTAGTTCTATTCCCCTGAATGCATCCAAATCAATCTTGATTCTCCTTCTCCAATAATTCAATACACTGCTCACCTTGTCCAATAACGCCCCATTCTTCATCTTTTCATACACCAATAACCTTTCATCTTTCTCTTTACAGAACCCAACTAGCCCAGCCAAGTGATTATGGTTTAGACGGGGCAAAGGTTGGATAAAATAAAATAAAATACACATATAAAATAAAATTATAAATCCCTAACATATCCCTTTATATTTCCAAACTATATTTTCAAAATCCAATCCCCCATAAATGATATGATAAGAACTACCGTAACAGATCGCCAATGCTCTCTCCAAACTGATCACAAATCAGCCATGGATGGTCTATCTTTACCTTTCCGATTCACGCAATGGAGGGCTGTTTGGGCCACCAACTCCAATGCCTCTATCTCATTCACACCCGGTGGTCCAACCCTAGGATCCAAAATGGCAGGCACGGCAAAGTCCACCAAACGGTGCACACTTAAGGTAACTTCATCTTCCCCATCAAGGAATATAGCTTTCTTTCCTGTTAAAAGCTCTAGCAATACAACTCCCAGCCCATACACATCACTCTTTGCTGTCAACGTATTTAGATCATAGTACTCAGGATCAATGTATCCAACTGTTCCTCCTACCTTTATTCGTCGGTAATCACGCTCAGCTTCTGGACTCATCAAACACAATTTAAAATCAGACACTCTTGCCAGCCAAGTGGCATCAAGAAGAATGTTGGAAGACTTGACGTGCCCGTGAAGAAATAGTGGAGCTGCATACTTATGAAGATATTCTATTCCTCGGGAAGCATCCAAAGCAATAGTGATCCTCATTTTCCACCGATTCAACGCATTGCTACCATTTTCATGCAAATG